AACAGTTGTAACTGGATGATCATCATCATCATCAGAAACATTCTTAACAATATTAGATTCTAGTTTAGCTTTTGTTCGCAAGAAGTAAATCAAGTAGATTGGTTGCTGCTAGTGCTAAACGCTTGGTCGTACATTTTTGTTTTAACCTTTTTAATACGGGATCATATTGTTCAAAATTTATTTGGTGTTTATTGGTGCAATGTCTCGCAAATTTTTTTACAGATGTAGATTCATAGCAAATACTGCCGGACTGATTACAAAGAAACGTACTCATTGAGAGATTTAAATTACGTTTTCATTTTAATTATTAATTGCTGTTAAATGAAGTGAAAGTGTAGAACTGTTCAGTGGTATTTTTCTTTTCAACAGAGGCGCAGTCACAGATAGAAAACAAAGACAGGTACTTTGACGTCCAGAACATTTTATTCTTCGTTAGAAAATACAAGGACTTGTACACACATACATAGTCCTACGTAGCAGTAGAAAAGAAGGAAGAAAAGGAAAAATAACGTCAAAAAAGATTTTGTTCAGTATAGTCATAATGCCGAATGATGATTTTCAGTGTGAGATTAAAGGTTAGCATTTTAATTTTATTTAATATTCTTATTCTGTTAAGATAAAATTTAAGTAGAATAAGGATGTTTTTTTACAGCGGTTACATTTATTCATTATTAATTTCTACTGCTCTCAATAATGGTTACTTAGCATGAAACACGTTATTAATTATAAATGCATCGCAAACAAATTATTTAAAGCACCTAAAAATCACTTACTCAGGTGCATAAAAGGCAGTTTCTCAACTTAAATTTCTTAAAAAGTTTCTGAGTAATTTTATCCAAACGAGGGAATGGATTTCCACTCTCTAATCGATAACGCTGGTTATCAAAATATAAGCTTCTGTTATTTGTAAACAGTTAAAGAAAAATTTCGAATTAAAGTGACGATTAGAAAAAAAGTATTTACTGTACGTTTTAATTTTTGTTTTAGCATTTGCTCGTGTTTCTTACACTATTAGACAATTGACATCGGTTACTCAGCAGGCACGTGCTGCATTTCAGTATGCTACATTAAATGTCTTTCAAACGTCCCGACAACATCAGTTATCGTCAATAGCAAACCCATCAACCGCTACCTCTTTACCATCAACAACAACTGCACAACAAAATATTTCAACAATGTCTACAAGTCAATCACAAACACTACAAAATTTACAAATGAAATTACGTTCTACTGTTCGGATGACACCATAATAATAAAAAATAGAATTAACGTATTTTGCACCGGTGATTATTGCAAGAGCATCTTATTCTCTTTTAAGTGTGTCGAACAGTAAAAACATCTTGTGAGTGAAGATTAGAAAAAAGAGTTTTGCATGTTAAATATCGAGCCGATTGTCATTTTTGTTGTTGTTGTTTCTTTAGTTACATTCTTAAATTAGTGAATACACCATAAGTCGCTAACAGAAATTTATTTCCACATACATACATTTTTTCGTTGTTGTTCTGGCATTTTCTGAAAATCTGTTAAATTGTCAATATATATGATCAGGTCATTTTGGTTTCTCTTTTTTTGTGATGTGTCTTCTTTGTGTTTGTGTTTTTGTATGTACCGACACACGATATCTATTTTTTTTCTGTGTTCTTTGTCGTAGCGCAGTGTGTTTTTTATGCCTGTGCTTGTCTACTTGTTGTTGTCAAACAAACTCATTCATCATAAAAACATTAAAAGAATATTCTCAAAATAGTTGCATTTTTTCTTCGGTTTTTTATGACTCATTTCGCTTTTCGTCTCAAAATAGCAACGTTGGAGTATTAACAAAGATTGTTCATATCTCTCGCACTTTCTCTTTCTCCGTTATTTTGAGAAACGAGTTCCTTCTGTTTTTCTTTTCTTTTATTGTGTACCACTCTCTTTCTCTTGTCATCGTTGTCGTTGTTCATGAGGTCTTTTCTATTATGTATAAATGTATTCTTCTTGTGGAGTAAGTCTAAGTGAGAAATATTATTGAAAAAATACGAATTTTTTTTTGTTTATTTGTTTTTTTAATAAAACAACAAAGAATTTTGCAAATAATACCGTAAATGTACTACTGACGGATGCCGAATGTGAACATGCGAAAAATGAAAATTACTAAGAAAAGAAAGAAACTGTGCTTTATATTATACTTCACCTTGTTTGTCACCTTATATAATATAAATAAAGATTACGAATGAAGTGTATTGGAAGTGAATTATTGTAAGATGAAAAGTAATTGAAATCTAGAACCAGTTCTCGTAGGATACTCAGTGTTTTGATGAAAGACTCAGATGCACGTTTAGTTACAGATATTAACAACGTCACTTTTTTCTTATAACAGATAATACAAATACATCTTGTATTTTGAAGAATGTGCAAGAAAAACTGGTGGAAAAGAATAGTAAAAATTTTTGCACGACGACAATAACATCATTCCGTTGTAAAATGATGATAATTGTCGAACTGTATATGTTACAACCAGGCCCTTAGTCAGGATGGGGGTGCACTATAGATGTAAATCGATACACCAATTTTCTTGTATTTTGTTTTTTGGTTATAACGGTTCTGATTCCAGTTTAGCCGTCTCTGTGACAGCGACTGGTCCAGAAAACTAACAGGACGCAAAAGGATCTTCACATCGGTTTGCATCAATGAAGCGCGCGAAAAAAATGTAGATATCTCCTTTCACAACCCATTTAAGCAACCGAAGTAACGTTTATGGATCGATAAAATATTCTCTGGTTCTCATGCATGATGTTTCTTAGAGGCTATCTCAGAAGAAAGTATGCTGTGCGTCTAAGTACATCTCTGTATTTTATCGAAGATAGACAAAAATCAACCGGTTAGCTAAGTAAATGTGAGAGAAACATAGTTCTGCTCATTTGATGGTAAACTTGATACGCCGGTTTCATAGCAGTTAAATAGCAAGTTTTACTTATGGGGTGTGCTGGGGCACAACGGGCATCTCCCCCCTGGCTACGGGCCTGCTTACAACATTCATATAATCTCTATCTCATCATACTAAAACTAAAGCTGTATTCAATAAAAGACAATTAAACTAATGAGAATAATAAATTCCTTGAATGAAATCGATCAGAAATTGTGAATCGTAAAGTTTTAATTCCATCTGTTATTCTTACAGACAATGGTACCTGTTTAATCTTCTCAAATATATCTAACTCGAGTCAATCTTTGATTTTCGATGCATTAAAGGACCACAGTTTTGTTTGTGGATTGTATTATTAAAAAGCTTCTTCATACTGTTTCACACCATATTCTTGTACTCTTTAAAAATGACGTCAAATATGCAAAGCTCTAACTCGGAGAGAAAATATGATTTGTGAATCCATGATAATCTTTCTGAAAAGTAATCCTGTCTTAATGCTGAACATATTCTTTCATGGTCCTAAAAGATTGACTGTATGCTTTAGCACCCTACTCAGAGAGATTTCAACTGGAAACTAGCGCTTGTTTCAGAAACTGTAATGAACATCATTTTTTAGTTTTTTTACAATAGAATTTTTATGGGTCTAATGCTGTTAAAAAACGGTCCGAATGCTGTCTTCCTGACATATAATACTGTAAGATTGTATGTTCAAAACGATAAAGAATTATAGAAAACTGCACAGCTCTTTAAAAAAAACTTATTTTAACAAGATTTTGATTATTTCTCAAGGATTCCATCAATTCAGATAGCAGAACAACATGACCCGGTGACATTCATGTGTATTTATGTTTGTCTGGATGTTGGAAGATGAATCTTCCAATAATCATATCATTAGCAATAGCAAAATCAACTAAGCACTGGTCATTGTCATTTATTACTACATACATCCGAACTTCCCATATGTCATTTTTTCCACTAATGGGAATGCTTTTGAGTATAAATAATAAAGATTTCATAGCAGCAACAAAACTAATTCAATTCATTTTAAATCAGGTTTTTGATTGTATTTCTTGAGAATGAATTCATAGTCTTTGAAACCTCGAAATAAAAGATAATTAACGTTGTTTCTGCTGAGAAATCTTTATTATTTTCCCCATATGTTACGGAGATACCTAAGTTTGGCATTTATAGCTTCTATTAATAGTTTTATATCATGCTGTGAAATCATATTACACGCAGACTGTAACTGATCGTAAAATACGATTTTAATTTTATTTTCGGCATGTTCACCGGGAACATGCATTAACATTTGATGTTTTCTCAAATCGACCCATGTCCCCTAGTCGAGACTCCTGATTAATCTCCTGCAGGAGTCCTGGAAAAAAAGTCCTACAGGAGTCAGCAGGAGTCCTGTCACGAGGCCCCGGCAGGATCCTCTGTAGAGTCATAGAGGATTTTTAAGGGATTCAAGAGGGATTCCTCAAGGCTCCCACAGGAGTTCTGTGGGATTCTTAAGGAAGTCCCTGGAGAGTTCTCGGGGATTTTCAAGAGAGTCCTTGGGGACTCCCTGTGGGTCTATTGATCCATCTTCTTAATTTCATGTAACTAATTAGTAATTAAGTGCCAGATACTATCACTGGTACCGCTGGAGCACA